TTTTTTTTTTGAAACTGGAGTAAGACGTTCAACAAAATGATGAGTTTATAATTTTTGTTCGATATTTTATGGACGTAGAAACAATCTATATTTTTCTCTTTTTCTCTTTAGAGATTTAAATGATTTTTCCTAGAATGTATAAATAAAAGCTTGCGTATTATAAAGTTTCACTTTGACATATGCGGATCTTGGAAATTTTCTGCTTCGATCGTCAGATTTCTAGTTGAAACTGAACAACTCGAACTTTTATAAGATGAAAATTATCAATATATATTTATTATTTATTACGTTGTTATGTAATTTTGTACAGCATCGTTCTTCTCTTTTTTCAGGGCAAGGTCGTGTGAATCAACTCGGTGGTGTCTTTATCAATGGCCGGCCACTGCCGAATCATATTCGGCTAAAAATCGTAGAAATGGCAGCAGCTGGTGTCAGACCGTGCGTCATCTCCAGACAGTTGAGAGTTTCTCACGGCTGCGTGTCGAAGATCTTGAATCGTTATCAAGAGACAGGATCGATAAGGCCGGGTGTGATCGGTGGTAGCAAGCCGCGTGTCGCGACGCCGGAAGTCGAAGCGAGGATCGAAGACATGAAGAGACAGAATCCAGGAATATTCAGCTGGGAAATTCGCGAGAAATTGATAAAGGTCTGTTGATAATGTCTCTATATAGTACATCAATCATTTGAGTAAATGATTTTAACTCTTGATAACTATCTGATAGTAGATAGAGAAAGAGAATTAATTATTATCTCAATCAATTATTTATAATGTTATAAATTATATTATAACGTGGTCTTAGTGACAGTCTTATTAATAATCTGATTACTGACACATATAATATAATTATATAATAATCAAATATTTGTGAATTATTTATGATTCGTATGGAATGTTTATAGCATAATGTGCACAATTGCATTGATATCCACTAGTATACTAACTAGTCCGACATGGTTTTGCCAGCAGGATGGTATCTGTGACAAAGCGTCTGCGCCCTCAGTTTCCAGCATCTCGAGACTTCTTCGTGGTCCTACGAATCAGACTCGTCCTGGAGACGATCCTCGAAGAAATCATTCCATCGATGGAATACTCGGTGAGTTGATTTTACCTTTTCCACAATTATCGTCGCGTAGTCTGCCATTTTGAGGAACGCTTCCACTGAAAAGTATAAAATAATGCAAGAAAGGAAATGAACAAAAAATTAGAAGCATATAAAGTATAATATTCGGTGTGTACCTTGATCTATTTAGAGATTAAATTTATTCGAACTACTTTTATGATGTTCTCACCAGTCAGTTGAAAATCGGTGGAGAAATTCAAAAGCGATACTTGTCCTTGTTTTAACACCGTGATAAATCATTAGGATAATAAAAGGGAAAAAAGTTTGAGATAATCGGGTGATGAACGTAATTACAACATGTGGCTGCATTAATTGAGTATCACGGCAATCGTAACCGTAATAAAGAAATGGTATTTCATATCGGATAAAATAAGCGATTACGTTTTTCGTTCCGATAACTGCTCAAACTTCTCAGTAACATTTATAACAATTACATAGCGAAGATTTCTCTTTCAACCCTTCAGCCGCAAACAAGCAGTTTCCTGTACGAAACTAAGTAAAAGAAAATGAAAGGAAAGATGATCGCAATTTAACGAACTTCAGGAAAAAGGAAAGAAATAAAACTTGACTGTATTCTCTTTGACAAAGTCGGTGAAACACTTTTTTAAACAAATCCAATCAAATTGAAAGTTCAGAATATACAAACAAAGACAGGCTGTGAAATAGAAAAGAAATAAGAGAAAAAATTACAAAGAAAGATTAATTAAAACAAATAAATGAAGAGGTGCCAAATTGTGAGAGTACCATCGCGTTCTCTCCAACGAAATCGGCAAGATTACCGAATACGTAGTTTCAAGGGCAGAAAGAGATTAACGGGAACACGGATCCGGCCGGCGGACGTAAAGGCAGTTCCATTCTTTCTTTCTTCTTTCTTTTTTTTTTTTTTTTTTTTTTTTCTATTTATTGGCGGCAAGTGAAGCTCGCGAAGAAATATTAGGCGTCCCGTGGTGCGTAGATGCGTCGAGTTTATTACCTTGTCGGGAAGATTTAGTTTTGATTAGATGTACGCCGGGGGAATTGCCGATGTAAGAGCGCGGCGCGGATGGCCTACGTGTTGATCGGTATGCATCGCGCCGCGAACAAATCTTCATTTCGTCCCCCGGTGAAATTACGTTGCACCGTCCAGCACCGGGAATCTGCTGGAATGCGTTGCGAGGCGTTTTCTAAGTGAAATGTTGCATGGTTTAGTCAAGTTTGTATTCCCACGGTCGTATTTCCCCGCGGAGGGAAATGGCACCGGGGTTCTATCGGCTAGCTACGATCGCGCTTCCTTCTCGTATAATAATCTCCTTCTCAATAATAATCTCCGCGCGTGTACTTTAATCACGTAAATCGATTCTTCTCGTTTTACAGTGTAGAGACGGTTGAACGGTTTTTCTTCTTGGGAAATGTTTTCAGGGTGTTGCGCGCGCTCGGCTAATGGTCAAACGCGTTACGTAAG